GTAGCATGTGTGCAGTCCTGGACATCTAAGGGCACTCTCTTGCTGGAGGAGGCCAAGGACACAGGCAAGAGGAACACAACAGTTCCCATGGCCTGGATGGAATGTAAGAGTGTCTGGAAGTTTCACCAGATCTTCACACGTTACGTTGAACTTCCAATATCTGCTATCTTGTGGATGACTCTAGAGGCATGTCATTATCCTCAAGCACAGCATAAGCCACACCTCGCACAATACTTTAATCACACACTCTGACAGGCTAGGATCACTGGCTGCGTCCTCCAGCTCTTCCTCTGAAGTGTAGATTAACCAAGAAATGGTGCTGTTCTAGTTCAGTGATTGCCATGTATGGCAAAGTGTAATGATCACAGCCATGTCATAGAAAAAGAAGCAGAACAATATTAGACAATTTTGAAGATATTTTAGGAAAAATTTATTTCACAAAGAGCTGACTAAAAATGAAATAATGTTCTTCAGACGAATCATTTGATGATATTTATGGAATATTTAGAATGCAGCTACCTGCTTAATGGTATCAGATGAACTTTCACTAGTGGTTAGAGGATGGGACATTGTCTAGTTCCCACACTCAGTTGAATAGCAGGTTGGAGTAGATGGTGGGGCAAGATGGGCTATGTTTATAGGTAATTGATAATGATGTAGCAGTAAAGCTTTCTATTGAACCTGCAGAAGACTCTTCCTTTTGTCGTTGTATTACACACGTACACAGACATTAATTTCTGGGTATTGTAGTGCACCTGAAAATTACACCTATTATATACTACAGCCAACTTGGGACTTTAGTTCAAATATTTAAGAAGTTTCTCAAATGAAGCCGATTGGGATGCTGATCCTTAATTTTTGGGCCCGCATTAGCAATTCATCAGGTGGACTTTAGGTTGATAGTAGGAGAGAAGTGGAGTGATCCCTATCGCCCAATTTACATGCAGTGTTCATCCATTGTTAAGAACGCAAAGGTTGGACAGCAGTTACTAGCCCTACTAGAAATAGCTGTGCTATTCATTATTGTAGATTTTTATTGAGTGGAATTGAATTGAATTATGTGAGTGGAAGATAAATATGTAAACATTTTAAAAAAAGGACTAAATACATTCTTTGCTGAGTCAGCAGACGTGCAATGGAGGAAAATATAAGCTGAAGTATTAAAGCATATTCGTGAAGTCAGTAATATTTGATGGATGTTATTTTCACAATTCTTGCATTTTCTTCCCTCCAGTTTTGTACCTTATTTCCTTCTACTTTAATAGTTTCAACCATAATATAAGATCACTTATCTGAAAGATAGGTGCCCTTCAAGCCTCAGTCTCATTTAAGACTGCTGCCCATTGGTGAAAACGAATAACTTATTCGTCTGTACATGAATTTCATGATAGCATCTGCTCACTATTAGTGAGGCAGTACATAATCTTTGTTGACATTTATTACAATTTACTAGAGACTATAGAATAAAATTTATTTTTTAAATTATTAGAATGTGATTTTTTAAAATAAATCAAGAACTTAAGACAGCAGTGAATTTGTCACAGAAGTTAGCAGGTCAAATTTCTGTAAAGAGTGTATTCCCCTATTTCATATTTCCTTTTTTTTTTACAGTATGTTGATACATGAACGTTTGCTGAAGATTTCCTATATGATAAACATAGGGACCAAGAAGTTTATAATTTGCTGTCAATGCATGTGAATTTTTGACTGGACTTCAGTGATCGGTAGGAGAATTTAATGGGCAATAGATCTCCTCTAAAGCTAACTGTTCAGTCAGCTGCTAGCAATTTTGTTTATCATGAGACAAAATTGGAATTAGTTATTAATAATGTCGTAAACTGCTCAGTTTACTTTTTTTTTCTAATCAACCTGCACATCACTAGAGCAAGTGGGACTTGAACCCGTGCCTCCTGTTCCTGGAGTAGGTACACAACCATTGTTCCACAGGAGGGCCTCTAATATTTTAAAGCCTTTAATGAACTCGCAATGTGCCTTTTTACCATATGGGGTGCATCAAAGAATCTTGAAATAGATTGACTCTTAAAGAAGGGATATAGGCAATAAATAGCCACCTAGCCGATGATGCTGAATTTTATGAATGAATAAAAGAAGCATTAAATAATTGTAAAATAGTTACTGTGTTGTCAACATTAGAAAAAAAGTGATATTTTTACTTTTGACAAAATTTAATTTTATATTGTTCTAGGTGACCAGAAGCACTTGAAAATAATGACAAACAAATGAATTTACTTGAGCTTATTTTTAAATAGAATCTTGCAAGTTTGCTCATAATTTAGATGATCATCTGTCCAACAAAGTAATCTGCAGCTTTTATTCTTTTCTCTATTACTCATGTCGTGAAAGGTATCTCATCTGTTATGTAGCGATAATAGCAGTAGTACATCTGTTAAAACTCCGTGCATGTCAGGAGGGAGCGTCTCCATTAATATCCCCATCCTCAATAATGGGGGTGTCCAGTCACATCAGCAGACAAGGCTAAAGTATTTGCATTCATCTTTAGCCTGAAGTACCAAGTGCATGACCAATCTCAGCTTACTCCCGAGGCCCTCCGTTTCAGACACCAATGTTAAATCATTTCAGTTTACTCTACATGATATCAAGAAATAGCTGAAGACACGAAATACTGCAAAAGCCCTGAAAAAATTTCAGAAATAGTACTGCAAATTTATGCTCTAGAACTAGCTATCCTTGGCCAAGCTGTTCTGATACAGCTGCAACACGGTGGGAAATTTCCACAAAAAATAAGACAAATTTCACTCTGCCAATTACCATCCTATCAGACTGCTCTTGATTATCAGCAATGTGATGAAAGGGATTGGTGACAAAGCAGCATTAAATAATAACCTGCGCACTAAATAATAACCTGCACACTAACACTCTGCTTGAGTTCTTCCATGGCCACTCAACTGCTGACCTCATTACTGCTTGCTCCAAAATTGGACAAAAAATGCTGAGTTCCAGAGGTGAGGTGAGAATGAGAGTCCTTGATATCAAGGTGGCATTTGACCAAGTATGGCATCAAGGAACCCGAGCAAGACAGGAGTCAGTAAGACCTGAGGTAATATTTCCACCAGTTAGTGTCTTACCTAACATAAAGGAAGATGATTGTGATCATTGGAGATCGCCTCAGTCCAAGTACATCAGTTTAAGAGTTCTTCAGATTGTGTCTAGACCACTATCAGCTTCAACCATTTCCTCAATTATCTTTCCACAATCGTAACACAGAGTGGAGATGTTCACTGATGACTGCACAGTACTCAGCGCTCTTCTCAACTCCACAGATACTGAAGCAGTCTGTGTCCATAAGCAGCAAGAGCTGGACAACATTCAAGATTGAGCTGACCAGCGGCAAGTCACTAAAGTGACAAGCAGTGGCTATTTGCAACAAGAGGGAACATAACTATTATCCTTTGGTGTTCAAAGGCCTTACAATTGCTGACCACAAACAACATCTTGCGGCTTATCATTGACCAGAGGTTGAACTGGATTAGCTCTATAAATACTGTGATTACAAGAGCAGATCAAAGGCTCTGAATTTTGTGGCAACTATCTCAGCTGCTGCCTCTCTAGTGCCTGTCCACCAATAAGAAGGCACAAATCAGGAATATTATTACGTGCTCCCTACGTGGGTTGATGAGAGCATCTCCAACAACATTCAAATGCACACCAGACAGGATGAAGAATCATGCTTGATTGGTAGCCCATGCACCATTTTCACATTCACTCCCTTCTCCACTGACATACAGTAGCAGCAGTGTGTACTGTCTACAATGTACATTGGCAGCAACTCACCAAGAATCCTTTTAATTGCATCTTCTAAGTCTATGATATCTACCACCTAGAAGGGCAAGGGCAGCAGGTGCAGTGTTTTCATCCAAGCCTCCCTCCATGCTGACTTGGAATTACATGACTGTTCCTTCTCTGTCACTGGGTCAAAATCCTGGAACTCCTTAATGGCATTGTGGATGTCCTTGCAGCAGTTAAAAAAGGCAGCTTCACCTACCACTTCCAGGGCAGTTAGTGATGGGCAATAAACACTGGCCTAGCCAGCAACGTCCACATCACATGAACAAAAATAATGAAGCATATATGCTGGAGGAAAAACAGTGAATTGTATTTAACGTAAATGCTGTTTGTCATTGAAGACTATTCAGATGCTTCCTGAGAATCTTGCAAACTGCAAGATTAATTTATTTAAATGTCAAAAGATAACAAATCAATTTTAAAGTGGTTTTATGTTGGTTCAGATTGGAAACCTTTGTAAGTATCAAACTACACTTCAAGTGAATTGTCGACTCCAACTAATACATCATCATATGTTGGATAGAAACTGGAATAGAAAAAATATGTGCCAAATAGAGGATGCTGCGCTGAAGCTCAAACCTTAAAAAAAAAATTGTGATCCCTGGCTATAATTTTGATAACATTTTTAACGTATCAATGAAAGTTGGTTAATATCTCATAATAAAAACCTGAGAAACAATTATTTTAATGAAAGGAAAAACGATTTGTCAACTTGTTTATGCCTGTACATGTGAAAAAGTACTTGGCGTGTGGTATGATTATGTTGCTGTGAAAACTATTGAGTGATTGTTTAAATTATTGCATTATATAATAATGAGACATATGAACCTTCTGCTCAGAAAGGGTACATTTGCTTGATCAATAGCTTTGCTGTCCTGGACATGTTTCCATTCTTCATACAATGTTTGGGATGTATTTGGAACTCTGTTGATTGTTTGAGAATGCAGTAAATATCTCAGGTACTGCTGGAATTTATCAGTTGCCAAAATGTGAGCAGAATTTTCAGAGCAGGTTGATGTTGATCAGCCTGAAATCTCAGTGAGGTGGATACTCTTTTTAAAAAAAAAAAAAAATTGAAAACAAAATCTTTTTGTTACAGAATAGCAGGAAGGCAGATGAAAGCCTCAATGAAGGTATGTATAATTGTGAAAACATTGAGTTAACAGTGTGGTGGTAACATGCACTGTACTGAGTGCCCTGTTCATCTGATATTTCCTGTGGTTACATGCAGAGTTATGATTCATATTCAAGGTCACCGAGGCCCTTCTGCATTGCAGCACGCCTCAGTCTGTCTCAATTCTACTTCTCTTCTTATTGTCAAGTGGATCCCAGGTAGATGATGGCAGAGAAGCTTATGGTGAAGCAAAGCAAGTGAGAGATGTTTCCAAAGCAGAGTAGAAGAAATGCACATTCCACAGATTTGCAGTATTAAGTAAGTTTACAAAGTTGGGAAAATATGACATCATGAACACAAAGGTGAGAACCTTAATATTGAGGCATTGGAATTGGAGCTAATATAGATCATCAAGCATGGGGCTAATGGACAAATGGAATTTTGTTTGAGGCACGATTTTGGATGGGTTAAAATGAATGCAGTATGAAAGATGGAAGGCCAATGTGGAATAGCTTTGAAATAGTTGGACATAGGATTGATCAACATGAATGAGAGCTTCGTCAACAGATGGGGAAGAAAAACGACAAGTGACATCATGAAAATCGAAGTAGATCTTTGTCATGCAGAAGATGTGGGATTAGAAGCTCTGTCTTTGAGCTAAACAGAATAGTGAGCTTGTGAACATTTGATTTCGCCTCAGATGCCACTATGCTGGATGCAGCTATTGGTTAGGGAACAGAGTTTGTGATGTGTATTGCTAGGGAAGATGGCTGCAAAAATTTGGTTTCCCACTGATCTCGTAAACATTCCCACAAAACGATTTTGGGGAAATATGAGAATGGTGAGGTAAACTAGCTTTCAACAGGGTACCTATGGGATTTAACTTGTCTTTATATATGTTGCATGCAGTTGAAAAATGGGAAGACACCAAGGAGCAATCCTAGCGGACTTCCAAAGGTAACTAGAGAAGTCATTGCAGGTGATCTTTTGTCTATGACTGAACAGGTAAGGATGAAACCAGGAAAGGACAATCTCACTAAAGTGGATATATATGAATGTATGAATTAGGAGCAGGTGTGGGAAGCTGTGCTTCATCAAGTCTGTTCCACCATTTAATAAGATTGTGGCTGATCTGACTACTCCACAGAAGGCACCAGTGAGAAGTAACTTATGTGAGAAGTCACCACCACTGAGAAGGGGATCGTGGAAGATTTGGTGCTCAGCAGCAGGAAGAGCATCCAACAGATGGTGTCAGTGAGACGCGATCAAGGTGGATTCTGGGAGAAGTCAGTGCAGTCTGCTAGTTTCAAGTAGCAGCCCTACCTTGATCAGCAGCTGGGCACCAAATCAGAGAGGCCAGAGGGGGGAGACCGCAACCAGAGCAGGTAAAAACTTGAGTGCAGGACATTTCGGGCCTAGTTTTGAGTGGTAACATTACCTTAATCACAGGGATATCATGGGAGCTGCACTTTGGACACCACAAGTTGAAAAGTGACATTTTGGACAGAAGGGCTCCTGATTGGTAAGTAGTGGTCAGGTGATTCCTTTATTTCTTGTCTTCAATTTCCATTAACCTTTTCATACTCATAAGGTTTTAGAATAGTGTGATTTAGGCTGTTGGTAGAGTAGTACCTAGATTGTTGTTTACAGGATAGTGTATTTAGTAATTCTTAGTGAGAATCTAACATTATGGACCATCTAGTTAGCTGTAGATTAATTGAATTTTACTTCTAATTAAATAGCTGCTAGAAGGTAAAAATTGGAGTCAATGGGGTAATATGCTTCTCATGCAAAAAGTGGAAAATCAGACTGTTGGAACATCCCTGACGTCTACAGCTGCAGGAAGTATGTCCAGTCGCATTTCCTGTCAGACCTCGTGGATTAGTTGGACACATTTAAGAGCATGCAGGAGGAGGAAAGTGTCACAGACAGGAGTTTTAGAGATGTGACCACACCCAAGGTTCAGGCAGATAGATGGGTGACCACTAGAAGGGGCAGGCAGACAGTGCACGAGTCCCCTGTGGCTATCCCTCTCTCTGACAAGTTTTGGATGCTGTTGGGAAGATTGCCTGTCAGGGGATGGTGATAGTAGCAACCAGAGCATTGATATAACAGCTGGCTCTGTTGTACAGCAAGGAGGGTCAAACTGCAGAAGAGTTGTAGTCAGGGGCACAGATAGCTATTTGTGGCGACAAAAGAGGTGGTACGTTGGTTCAAGGATGTCTCTGAGCGAGTACAGGACATTCTCAAAAGGGAGGGTGAACGCCAGAAGTCATGGAATGTGTTGGTACTAATGATATAGGCAGGAATAGAGATATGGTCCTGCAGAGGGAGTTCAGGTTTTTAAATAGTAAGTTGAAAAGCAGGACCTCTAGGGTTGTAATCTCAGCATTACTCCCTTTGCCACATGCTAGTGGAGCTAGGAATAGGAAGATAGTACAGTTTAAAAATGTGGCTAAAGAGCTGGTGTATGAGAGAGGGCTTAGATATGTGGATTATTGGGATGTCTTCCAGGGCAGGTGGGACCTGTACAGAAAAACAGGTTGTGCCTAAACTGAGGGGTACCAATATCTTTGCAGGGAGGTTTGCTGGTTTACTTGAGAAGGTTAAAACTAGTGCGGTGGAGGTGGCAGCCAGAGCAGTTGGTCAGCAAGTGAAATTCCCAAGGAGGAGTTAGAGATTAAAGCCAGTAAGGCTAAGAGGAAGAACAGACAGGCAGAGGTTACTGAACATGGAAAGTCTGGCAGTCTGAAGTGTATTTATTTTAATGCGAGGAGTATGACAGGTAAGGCAGATGAATTTAGAGCTTGGATTAGTGCACTTAACTACAATGTAGTTATTACAGAGACTTGGTTGAGAGAAGGGCAAGACTGGCAGCTTAATGTTCCAGGATTTAGATGTTTCTAAACATTTTTCTATGTTTAGAGATAGCGAGGGACGTAAATGACATTGGGCAGTTGTGTTGTCGATTAGGGAGAATATCACAGCTATGCTGAGGGAGGACACCTGGGAGAGCTCATCCAGCAAGGCATAATGGGTCGAGTTCAGCAATAGGATGGTGCAATTACTTTGGTGATGTACTGCAGGCCTCCCAACAGCCAGCAGGAAATGGAGGAACAGATGTGTGGACAGATTATGGAAAAATGTAAAAGCCACAGGGTGGTTGTGGTGAGAAATTTTTACTTTCCCTATACTGATTGGGACTTCCTTAGTACCTGGGGCTTGGGGAGGATTTATTACGTGCGTTCAGGAGGGTTTCTTGAAGCAATATGTAAATAGTCCAGCTAGTGAAGGGGCATTTTAGACCTGGCACTGGGGAATGGGGCTAGCCAGGTGGCCTAAATTTCGTTGACTTTAGGAACAGTGACCTTAATTCTACAAGTTAAGTTACTTATGGATAAGGATAATAGTAGTTCAGTACTAAATTGGGGGAAGGCTAACTATCACAATTTAGGCAGAAACTGGGGAATGCAGATTGAGGGGTGTTTGAGGGTAAATCCACATCTGGCATGTGGGAATCTTTTTAAAGACCAGTTGATTGAGTTCAGAAATCAGTACGTTCCTGTTAAAATGAAGAATAAGGATGGCAAGATTTGAGAATCTTGGATGACAAGAGAAATTATGTGCTCAGAAAGAAAAAGGTGGCATATGTATGGCTTAGGAACTTGAAGACAGAAAAATATAAATAAAGCAGGAAAGAGCTTGAATAAGGAGTTAGGAGGACTAAAATGGGCCAAGAAATGATCTTGGCAAATAGGATTAAGGAAAATCCCAAGGCATTTTATATGTACATGGGGAGCAAGAGGGGTAGCTAGGTAAAGAGTAGGTCTACTCAATGACAAAGGACAAAATTTATGCATGCAGTCAGAGGAAGTGGGTGAACTACGTAATGGATATTTTACATCTGTATTCACAAAGGAGAAGGACATGATGGAGGGTGAGTCTAGGGAATGGTGTGTTGATATTCTAGATGTTCTCCTGTTCTCCTGTTTTCAATTTCAATTCATCTAACATTTATTTGCTTTAACACATTTGCTTTATATCCCTGCTAATCTATCTTGTTCTTATGTCTTGGAATATGGCCAATGCAACATTTGTTTCTTTTTTCCTGATGATATGCCAAAGTTATCTCTCCGCCTTCACCATCCTGAGAACTTCATTGTTATTGACTCACTCCTTTCTTCAGAACCACATTTCAAAACTTTATGTTCAGCATAAGAATGGTTAAAAGTCTTCAGAAGAGAATAATCAGGATTGAGATTTGAAGTTGCTCATTGTATAGTGCTGACACGTGGATCTTAAGAAAATTAGATATCCTGACATTGAATGGGTAGGATTATGCTGAAAAAAATTTATAAATGGCCTTTGTGTGAAGCAGACTTGTTTGGTTGATGACTTTTTTAAATTCTCCCCATGTATTCTCACGTCTTCATCTTTCTGTTCTGACATAATTTTGTAGCTATGAAGCAAGAGTTAAACATGATAAAACAGTAAAATCTATATGTAAGCACCAAGACATAAAACAGTTGATGCTCTGTTACCAAAGCAGATATAGGGAGGAAGCTGTCTTCTATTGCTGTTTCAGCAGAAGCATCATAGAGTCATTGAACATACAGATTGTTCAGGAATAGCCTCAGAAGTTCCAGTTTATGATCAGAACAGAGGTGATACTTGTATTGCAACAACCCTAAATATTTATAAAACTCAACATTTGAAGTTCCTCAGTGAGGACATAAGGTGCTTAAAAAATTAACTTGAATCTGTTAATGATGCAATAATCGATTACTTTAATTTAGATATTTTCTCAGAACAAAATAGGGAAAATGAAGACCACAGAGTTAGAACATCTAAGGAAGGCTTGAAAAGTCCAGAAGGAAATTATACGTAGGATGCAAAATTCTGTATCAATAAAGAAACATTGTTTAGCCAGTTGAAACCTACAAAGAATCATTGATAGATGAAATAAAACATGAAGGTGTTTGTCAATTTTATAAGTCTTTTGACTACTTAAGTAATCAGGCAGATAAAAAAAGCAACGTAGAACAGAAAGGTTTAGGCCTTTGAGCTTAGTGCTGAAGAAACAACAGTTAATAGAGAAAGAGAGTATTACAAATGGGAGCAAATGAAGACTTGAACTCATTCGTTAGATATGTAAAACTGTCCATTGACACGTTTAAGATTTTATTCTATCTTGCATTTTAATAAATGGAACATCTTAAATTATTTCTGTTTAGATTTTGTTTCACTTCATGTACTTTTGCAATTACATTTTGTCACCAATTACTTTTTTGGTTAAGTTTTGCTGCAATAAAATACCTGTTTTCATACACACCCAAAGGATGACCTGAAGTTCTTTGTCACTGTTCTGTAGGCCTATATGGAACTTATTTTACATATAAGAAACAATTAGATAATTAGCTAATCTGATAAATTTCCAGTTGAAGGCAAAAACCCTACAATAATTTAAGAATCAATTGATACCACAATGGATGGATGAATTAAATTGGCTCGGGGGTTCTTCCTCATCCATCCTCATCTTGTGACCTGTAAGGTATATGTAACAGCATGCCTAAGAGATTTGGTTAAAGTGTTCTTATTCCCACACTTTTTAGGAACATGAACATAAAGGATAAAATGTTAACATTTACTGACTTCAAATTACAGCTACAGAAAGTACTGTGATGGAGAAAGGAAATGTACACTAAATTATAAAATTCCCAGCGGCATACAAGAATGGAGATTTGGATGTGCATGTATCATTTTTCAATAGTAAGTGTGCAGACAGAAGAAACTGTCAAAGACCAAATGGGATTCTGATTTTTTTTTATATATGTAAACACTGAATACATGGATGAAGAGGCGATAATGTATTTGTACACAATTCTTAGATTGCACTTGAGAGTAATGTGTAGTGTTTTGATGGCCAATATTGAAAAGGTATGACATAGATTCAATGGGATGTTAGCAGGCATTAATATATTGTTAGGATTCAGCACAGAAGGATTAGGTGTATAGTCAATGGAAAAGAGAAATTGAGGAGCAGTTAGATAGAAAATCAGAAAAGGTTTTGAGAAAGCAAATGTTGTTAGATTTTTACTACTTCTTTCTGTATCTTCAGCAAGGGGGAACACTAAGGGAGAGAAGATTCAAGAGCAAAAAACAATACAGCACAGGAACAGGCCCCTTGGCCCTCCAAGCCTGTGCCCTTTTGCCCTTCCATATTAAAACTGTCTTCTCTTATGTGATCCGCATCCCTGTATTCCCTTCCCATGCATGTATTCACCCAGGTGCTTCTTGAATTCTGCTATTGTGTCTGCTTCCACTACCTCTTCTGGCAGCCCATTCCAGGCACACACCACCCTTTGTGTGAAAAATGTGCCTCATAAATCTACTTTAAACATCCCCCCCCCCCCCCCGCACCTTGAACCTGTGTCCCCGAGTAATTGACTCCTCCACCCAGGGGAAAAGCCTCATACTTTCCACTCTATCCATGCCATTCACAATCTTTTAAACTTCTTTCAGGTTGCTGCTCAACCTCCTGTGTTCCAGTGAAAACAAACCCAGTCTATCCAACCTTTCTTCATAGCTAAAATCCCCCATACCAGGCAACACCTTGGTAAACCTCTTCTGTCCCTTCTCCAAAGCATCCATATCCTTTTGGTAGTGTGGTGACCAGAACTGTATGCAATATACTAAGTGTGGCCTAATTAAAGTTCTGTGAAGCTGCAGTATAGCTTGTCTATCCTTATACTCAATGCCCCTTCCAATGAAGGCAAGCATGCCATAGGCCTTTTTTACAACCGTTAAGATATAAAAGCAAGAGGGTAGCCAGGGAAAGGGTTGACCACACAAGGACAAAGGAGGGAACCTGTGTGAGGACCCAGAAGAGGTAGGTGAGGTCCTAAATGAATATTTTGTGTTGGTATTCACCAAAGAGAAGGAATTGGTGGAGGATGATCTCGGGGAAGGAAGTGTCGAGTTTCTAAGACAAGTTGTTATTAAAAAGGAAGAGGTGTTGTCCACCTTAAAAAGTATTAAGGTAGATAAAACCCCAGATCCTGATGGGATCTATCCCAGAATATCAATCAAGGCAAGAGAACAAATTGCTGGAGCATTGACAGACATCTTTGCATCCTGTTTGGCCACAGGTGTGGTCCCAGAGGACTGGAGAATGCCGATGTTGTGCCATTGTTTAAGAAGGGTAGCAGGGATAATCTTATAAGTTACAGACCTGTGAGTCTCACGTCGGTGGTAGGGAAATTATTGGAAAAGATTCTCGGGGACAAGATCTATACGCATTTAGAAGCAAATGGACTTATTAGTGATAGACAATGGTTTTGTATGGCGCAGGTTGTGCCTCACTAACTTAATCGAATTTTTTGAGGAGGTGATGAAGATGATTAATGAGGGAAATGTGGTTGATGTTGTCGATATGGACTTTAATAAAGCCTTCAACAAGGTCCCTCATGGCAGACTGGTACAAAAGGTGAAGTCACATGGTATCAGGGTGAGTTGGCAAGATGGATACAGAACTGGCTTAGCCATAGGAGACAGAGGTTAGCAGTGGAAGGATGGTTTTCAGAATGAGACGTTGTGACTAATAGTGTTCCACAGTGATCAGTGCTAGGCAAGTTTTAGTATGGAAGGGCAAAATGTGTCAATGCAGGCTTAGAGGGCCGAAGGGCCTGCTCCTGTGCTGTATTGTTCTTTATTCTTTGTTTGTATCTACCTGTGCTGCCATGTTCAGTGATCTGTGGATCTGCGCACACAGATCTCTCTGCATATCAATACAGCCAAGGGTTCTGCCATTCACTGTATAGTTTCCACCTGTACTTGACCTTCCAAAATGCGTCATTTAACATTTGTCCAGTTTAAACACCATCTGCGAGTTTTCTGCCCATGCCTCCAACTGTTCTATATCCTGCTGTATCCTCTGACAGTCCTGCTTTCTATCCACAACTCCACCAGTCTTTGTATTGTCCACAAGCCTACTAACAAAACCAGCTACATTTTCCTCCAAATCATTTATGTAGATCACGAACAGCAGAACTCCCAGCACTAACCCCTGTGGAACACGACTAGTCATAGCCTTCCATTCTGAAAAACATCCTTCCACCGCTACCTCTGTCTGCTATGACTAAGCTAGTTCTGTATCCATCTTGCCAGCTCACCCCAAAACCATGTGACTTCCCTTTTTCTACCAGTCTGCCATGAAAATCTTTGTCAAAGGCTTTACTGAAGTCCTTGTAGACAACATCAACCGCTTTTCCCTCGTCAATCATCTTTGTCATCCCCTCAAAAAACTTGATCAAGTTAGTTAGGCACGACCTCCCCCGCACAATACCATGCTGTCTATCACTAATCAAACTATTTGCTTCTAAATGAGTATAGGTCATGTCCCTGATAATCTTTTCCAATAATTTCCCTACCACTGACATGAGGTTCACAGGCCTGTAATTTCCTGGATTATCCCTGTTACCCTTTTTAAACAATGGGACAACATTAACTATTCTCCAGTTCTCTGGGAACTCACCTGTGGCCAAAGAAGATACAAAGATGTCTGTCAGTGCTCCAGCAATTTGTTCTCTTGCCTCCCGTCAAGACCCGGGGACTTATCTATCTTAATACTTTTTCAGACGCACAACACCTCTTCCTTTTTCATAGCAACTTGGCTTAGAGGTTTGAGACTCCCTTCCGTGAGATCATCCTCCACCAATTCCTTCTTTTTGGTGAATACGATACAAAGTATTTGTTTAGGACCTCACCTACCTCTTCTGGCTCTACACATAGATTCCCTCCCTTGTCCTTGAGTGGGCCAACCCTTTCCCTGGCTACCCCCTTGCTTTTCATATATGTATAAAAAGCCTTGAGATTCTCCTTAATCCTGTTTGCTAATGACTTTTCATGACCCTTTTTAGCCCTTTAATTCCTTGCTTAAGTTCTTTCCTACTTTCCTTACATACTTCAAGGGCTTTGTCAGTTCCCATCCTCCTAGACCTTACGTCTGCTTCCTTTTTCTTTTTGACTAAGGTCATAACATCCCTGGTCATCCAAGGTTCACGAAACTTGCCATACCTATGCTTCATTCTTGCAGGAACATGTCGCTCCTGAACTCTTATCAGCTGCTGTTTGAAATACTCCCACATGTCCAGTGTGGATTTGTCCTCAAACAGCCACCTCCAATCAACACTCTCCAGTTCCTGCCTAATATTGCCTTCCCCCAATTTAACACCTTCACCCAAGGACTGCTGTTATCCCTATCCATAAGTAACTTAAAACTCTCAGTATTATGATCATTGCTCCTGAAATGCTCTCCCACTGAAACTTTACTTACCTGGCCAGGCTCATTTCCCCAAACCAGGTCCACTATAATCACTTCAGAGATAATAGGAACTGCAGAT